TTAAAATTAAAACGAGTTTTATGTACAGGAATGTTTTGCTACATAATATTATAATTTTGCACCTGAAGATATTGGATTGATTATATTAATTATTCAATAATACTAGTTCACAGTTTTTTCAATTTTTTTTTTCAATTATTTTAGACCGGATTATTATTTTTCAATTATTTTAGATTCGTCTCTTAGATTTTTGGACGCTGAAAACGATGGCGCAAGTGGAAAAATTCTAGCGCGTCAGATTTCTAAGATAATTGAAATTTAATATATAAAAAATGACTTTTTTGGTGATATTTAATATTTTTTTTTGTAAAGAAGGTTAACATTATCTTGAAATTTCGATTAGAAGTATCATGAATGTATTCATCTTCTATAAAATGCATTTTATTTATTTCAATAGCTTACTTTTTATCCATGTTATGAGAGATTGTAGATGGGAACTAAAATTACTTCAAAACAACATGAACGCGCGCATGCACAGACAGAGAAGGAGGAAGAGGATAAGGAAGGAGGGAGGGGGAGAGAGAGAGAGAGAGAGAGAGAGAGAGAGAGAGAGAGAGAGAGAGAGAGAGATGATTATAAAAGACATGCAGTTGCATATCATGAATTATATAATTTTTTAAAAGCAACTTTGTATTTTTATCAATTGATTAGTTTTATTATTTTGTGCATATAAAAGTATTAAGAAACAATTAACAAAATATGATGAACTTTAAAAAATCCGCATACACATATCACACTACCGAGGTCTCCATGCATGTGGATTCGAAATAGCTCTTATTTTCAATCCTTCATAACATGACTAAAAAGTAAATTGTTGAAATAAAAATAATGCATTTTATAGGAGATGAACAATATATTCATGATTTCTGATACAAATTTCAAGATGATATTAACCTTTTTTATTAAAAAAATATCGTCAAAAAAGTCATTTTTTACATATTAAACCTCAATTATATTTTAACTTCTGACATGTTAAAATTTTTTCGTTTTCATTGTTATCATCATTTTCAACGTCTAAAAATTTGTAAGAGAACGTCTGGTCTTGTCTGGTTCAAAATAATTTTTTTGCTGTGAACTAGTGCATTGATTTGCAATGTATTCAATTAACGTTTGTGTTTTATTTTTTAGTTCATAAGATTTGATTAAATTTGATAATCAATTTATCAATTTAGAGCGATTTTTTTGTGTTTTAAGTTTTTATAAAGCAAAGTGCCTTTATTTTTTAATGTGAAATAATTAGTTTAATGTAAAATAATAAGTGCCAGAAACAAGATTCCTCTTACGTCGACGAAAAACGCTGTGTTTTTTTCTGACAAAGGATGAGTAGAAAAGAAAAAAAATAAAGAAGATGATTGGATAAAGGATAAGTTTGTTAGAGGACTAGTTTTAAATCGTTAGTTTATAAGTAACGCAAGTAATATTTTTTTACATTAATCTAAGGTACATAATGAGTGAATTTATTAAGACTGATGGCATTACACCATAAGAGTAAATAATGCCGCTATTATTAACTTGATTGTCGACTGATAATGTAACTTCGAATGAGAAATAATGTTGTAATCAAAGTCTATCATGTCTATTTGAAGAAAATAAATTTATACGATTATCATATATTATCCCGTGATCCATCTTATCGTTAGCTAGCAGTTATTTCGTTTCCACGAATGATCAATTTATGCAATCGATAGAAAAATTGTGCTCTACAGTAAATTTCATTATCGACTAACTCGTAATTAGCTGTCTTGTAACATTGACAGATGCGTCCCAAATGATTCTTGATCATCCAACTTTATTTTTGCAGCTTTCAATCATATATATTAGTACATCATTTTATAATATTTATTCTAGGTTAATTAGCGATATAAAAATTTATATACTTAGTATATAAAAATTTATATATTTATGATTACATTTTTAAAAAACAATCACTCCTGCAAATAACTTTTACATATAAATTTTCTATTAAAAACCAATTTGAATATAATAAATTGAAATATAATCGATTATCCTACGTCAATACTGAATTGAGAGTTGACATTCGCAAGAATAATTAGAATTCGAGCAAATTTAATAAATTATGAAAAAATTAAATAAATTTCAATAGTTGTAGCCGCTACAAACACTTCTTTCTGTAAATAATTAATCTTATTGTATATCTCTTCGGTTGGTTCGAGCATTGTTGCAAGAAATACTTATGCAATTGAGTACATCCTCTTGGCATCTTTTATCTCTTTCTTCTGCCTTCTCCACCTGTACGATATCAGGGGAGTAGCATGCGCACTAACCTTTCTCGAATCTTGTATATAGAAATGCCACTTACGTATCGAACTTTCATCGCTTGCGCATCGAAAGGAACGTTCACCGTTCGGCTGGCATTCAAAGTTATAACGAAAATGTTAATTGTCAGCCTGGAATCTGTGAATGTTACTTTCGTAACATGCAGTTACCGCTCCTTCCTTCGTATGCGAAGCTCATAACTTAGCTGCTTGGGGTTCGAAAGAAGGGACACAAAGGACACGCATTTTTTTCTCTATTTCCTTGATGAGTGATCAACGCGAATTGTTGCATCGATGCACCTGTGATCGAGGATGGGCCGCGAGGCTCACAAGAATCCAGCATCCGTGGCTTCTCTTCGAAATGGCTTTCTTTTTTAGGACACGCCGAAGAGGTGCCCTTTCGCTCCTGATGATAATCTCGATTTTTATCTACTTCCCTTTAATTATTTTTCCCTTAAATTATTTTTTAAATATATGTGAACGACAGTCCATTCGCGGATATAAGAGAGAACGAGAGAGAAAAGGAAAGAGGCGGGCATCGAAGAAGCACGTCGAGATACCGAATCAGCGAGCCATCGACACCCATCTCTAAAGTCAATGTCCCCTAGCCACTAAGTTCTAATTCTTAAGCCGAAAACGGGGAATGACGGTCAGGTACTGTTGGCCGCGTTTCCTACCCGAACGCTTGGCAACACAATAAAGATTTCGCCTCAATTGATCGTGCGTTCGTGTGGGACACATACTAATAAAGCCGGGGATCTTGTGTTCCAGCCGAAGACTTGAGCATCACTGGTCTCAAATGGGCAGCGGCCTGGCAGCGATGGAGCAGCGTGCCGTCGATCATGTGGCGATCCGGAGCGGGATTGGGCAAGGGTTTGGGTTCCGGCTCGTCTAATCCGGAGGGTTTCAACTGCCCGGCCTGCGGCAGGGTCTACAAGCTAAAGAGTAGCCTGAGAAATCATCAAAAGTGGGAGTGCGGCAAAGAGCCTCAGTTTCAATGTCCCCATTGCGTTTACAAGGCGAAGCAGAAGATGCATATTGCGCGACATATGGAGCGAATGCACAAAGAGAAGATTTACAAACAAGAACTCGTATAAGGTGAACGAAGGGGAGGGTGAACGTCCAGCGCTCGTCGTCGGCATCGTTTACGGGCTCGATCGTGCGTGGGAGAGATGACGGAAGATGAAAAGAAAAAAATAGAAGAAGAGGAAGAGAAAAACGCGAAGAAGAGGAGACGTCTCTCTTACGCACGATCGACGTTCAACATGCACGACTTCAAAGAGAGCAAAATGAGAAAATTAAGAAGAAGGAACTTGGGAAGGATTTGAAATTGGTGTACAATGGCGTTGAGATGAAAAAATGAGAATTGATTAAAGCTAATGACGGTGAGCGTCGAGACTTCTGCTTCTCGGGAGAGGGGATTGCCCACCCCCTCATCACGATCTTGGATTCATATTTTTTTTATCCTTTTTTAAGGTTTATTATTATGTGAATGACATAATTGAACGATT